GACAGATAATTCAACTACTACGGAGTATCCAAAATGTCCTAAATGTGGGAAAATGTATGGAGGAGAATGTCGATATGGTACCTTTAATTGCTACACTTGTGAAAAACCTGGTCACATTGCTGCAAATTGTGGAGCTAAGTCCGATGGTCAGAAGAAGACTCAAGGAAGGGGTTTTGCAATGACGACATAAGATGCTGAAGAAGATCCTACCGTTGTGGCAGGCACACTCTTCATTTTTGGAATGATAGCTCACATATTGATAGATTCAGGTTCTACTCATTCATTTGCATCTCGTGCATTTGCTAATAAGTTGGGTAAAGTACCAGAGATATTGAAAAGTGGGTTTAGTGTAGTTTTAGCTTATGGAGAAGTGTTAAGGTCTAATAAAGTGTTGAGATCTTGTTTGGTTATGATAAATGGGAGAGAGATGTATGTGAATTTAATCGTTTTGGATATGAAAGATTTTGATGTGATTCTTACTATTGATTGGTTATCTAAGCATATATCCACCATAGATTGTCATCAAAATGCAGTTATTTTTAGACCTCAAGATGGACATCAATTCCTTTTCATTGGAAGGTCAAAGAATGTCTCTTTTTCAATCATTTTTGCAATGAAGACAAGAAAAATGATTTGTAAAGGCTGTATTGGTTTCTTGGCCTCGGTAGTTGATACTTCAATTTGGGATGAGCTAAAACCTGAAGATGTGCCAGTTGTTAGGGAGTATTTGGAAGTTCTTCCTGAAGATCTTCCTAGTCTTCCTCCTGATTAAGAGATAGAATTTGTCATTGATGTTATTCCAGGAACAACTCCTATTTCTAAAGCACCATATCGTATGGCACCATCAGAATTGAAAGAGTTGAAGATTCCACTTCAAGAATTGTTGGACAAAGGTTTTATTCGTCCAAGTTTTTCTCCATGGAGTGCACCGTCTCTTTTTGTGAAAAAGAAGGATGGTTCGATGCGACTTTGTATTGATTATCAAGAATTAAACAAAGTCACAGTAAGGAACAAGTATCCTTTGCCTCGGATTGATGATTTGTTCGATCAATTGAAAGGAGTAGTGGTGTTTTCAAAGATTGATTTAAGGTCCGGCTATCATCAATTAAAGGTGAAGGAATCAGATATACCCAAGATAGCTTTCAGAACACGATATGGACATTATGAGTTTTTAGTTATGCCATTTGGATTAACCAATGCTCCAGCAGTTTTCATGGATTTGATGAATCGTGTATTTAAGGATTTTCTTGATAAGTTTGTCATTGTTTTATTGATGACATACTTATTTATTCTCGGACTCATGAGGAGCATTATGAACACTTGACTAGTTGAGAATAGTTTTACAAATTTTGAAGGAGAAGTAGATATTTGCAAAATTCAAGAAGTGTGAGTTTTGGCTAGAGAAAGTATCTTTCTTGGTCATATTATTTCAAAGGATGGAATTTTTGTGGATCCTAGCAAAGTCGAAGCTATTAGTGTTTGGCCTAGACCAAACAATGTCTCTGAAGTTCGTAGTTTCTTAGGCTTGGCAGGTTACTATAGATGATTTATTAAAGGCTTCTCTAAAATTGCTACTCCTCTAACTGCTTTGACGAGGAAGAATGTGAAGTTCACTTGGTCGGATGCATGTGAGCGATTGATCTCTGCTTCGGTGTTAGCTCTTCCGTTAGGGACTGATGGTTTTGCTATCTATAGCAACGCTTCAAAGAATGGTTTGAGTTACGTGCTTATGCAAAATAGGAAGGTGATAGCTTATGCTTCACTTCAGTTGAAAAGCTATGAGAAGAATTACTCTACTCACGATTTGGAGCTAGCTGCTGTTATTTTTACACTCAAGATTTAGTGTCACTATCTTTGTGGTAAGCACTGTGAGATATATTCTGACCACAAGAGTTTGAAGTATTTATTCCCGTAGAAGAAATTGAATATGAGACAGCGAAGATGGTTAGAATTGGTTAAAGATTATGATTGTGTTATCAATTTTCATCTTGTCAAGGCTAATGTGGTGGTGGATGCTCTTAGTAGGAAGCTAGTTGTTGTTGGTTCAGAATAACAATCTTCATTTGCAGACTTAAGTAGAATGTAAATTGAAGTGGTTTCTCAAGAAACAAAGGCTAAGCTTTCAGCTTTAGTGTTGCAGTCACGTATCATCAATAAGATTAAGCAAAGTCAAGATTTAGATCCTTATTTGGTTCGTATGAAAAATAAGGTTCAAGCTGGCAAAAAGAATGACTTTCAAGTATCTGACGAGGGTGTGATCTTTTGTGGTAATAGGCTGTGTGTGCCCAAAATTAAGGAATTGAAGAAGGAGATTTTAGATGAGGTTCATTCATCTCCTTACTCAGTTCATCCAGGGAGCACTAAAATGTATAAAGATTTGAGACTCCATTTTTTGTGGCCAAAGTTGAAGTATGAAGTAGCAAAGTATGTTCAGAAATGTCTCACTTCTCAGCAAGTCAAGATAGAACATCAGAGGCCTTCAGGGAAGTTGAAACCACTTTTTATCCTATAATAGAAATGGGAGCATGTTATCATGCATTTTATCATAGGATTGCCAAGGACATAGAACAAGTTTAATGCTATTTGGGTTATTGTAGATCGACTTACAAAGTCTGCTCATTTTCTTCCAATACGGAATACTTTTAGTATGGATTAGTATGCACAGCTTTATATCGAAGAGATTATTAGGCTTCATGGTTCACTTGTATCCATTATTTCTGATCGTGACCTAAAATTCACTTCAACATTTTAGAAAAATTTGCATTCAGCTATAGGAACGCGCTTGTCTTTCAGCACGGCTTATCATCCTCAAACCGACGGGCAATTAGAGAGAACTATCCAGACTCTAGAGGACATGCTTATAGCTTGTGTTCTTGATTTTTTGACTTCATGGGATAAAAAGCTACCTTTAGCTGAGTTTTCCTACAATAATAGTTATCATTCGACTATTGGTATGGCTCCATACGAGGCGTTGTATGGTAGGAACTGCAAATCTCCAATTCATTGTAATGAGGTTGGAGAAAGAAAAGTCTTGGGTCCAGAATTGGATCAGAAAACAGTTGATGCTATTGACAAGATTCAAAAAAGGATAAAAGCAGCTCAAAGTCAACAGAAGAGTTATGCCGATAAGCGTAGACAAGATCTTGAATTTGAAGTTGGTGACAAGGTCTTTCTTAAAGTTGCTCCAATTAAGGGAGTTATGAGATTTGGATAGAATGGAAATCTCAATCCTATGTATATAGGGACTTTTGAGATTTTGAAAAGAGTAGGAAAACTTGCTTATGAGTTAGCTCTTCCACCATCATTGTCTGGTATTCATGGTACATTTCATGTTTTTATGCTTCGCAAGTATATAGCTGATCCATCTCATGTTTTGAAGTATGAAGCTTTGGAGTTGAAACCAAATTTGTGATATGAAGAAAAACCAGTTAAGATTCTTGATAGAAGACTTAAGAAATTAAGAAACAAGAGCATTCATTTGGTCAAGGTTCTTTGGAGAAATCAATTAGTAGAGGAAGCTACTTGGAAAAAAGCGGATGAGATGAAGATCAAGTATCTAGAACTTTTTGGTAAGCTAAATTTTGAGGACGAAATTTGTTAAGGATGGGAGAATTGTAATACTCGAGATTTAATTAAGCCTTAAGCCAATAATAAATAAATTTAGTAAATTAAAATCATGCACCACATTTACTATTCATCTCAAAGTTATTTGTTGGCATTATATTTTATTATTATAGCTATCATATGATTTTATTAAAACTTATAGCTTTGCTAATCAAGTTTTTAGTTTTAATGTGCAGTGTAACTAGCTCGATGTGGGAACTCAATATGTTAAACTTATGAAGAAAAAATGATATTTATTATGATTATTTGATATGATATTTTACTTCTATTATGATTGATTTAATGATGAATTATTATTTTATATTTTATTATATGATTTTATGTAAATGTGTTAGGACTTAGATGTTATTTTGAGTTTTTGTCAGAGAATGCTATGTTAGCAATTTGAGTGAACTTTAGGCACCTAATTAAAGAGAAAAAATAGACTTTAGATGGCATTGATATCTCCACAGTTGGACTTCATGATCTTAGGTCACGTTTTGGAATAATACCTCAAGATCCTACTCTTTTCAATGGGACTGTAAGATACAATTTGGACCCCTTATCTCAACATTCCGACCAAGAAACATGGGAGGTAACGTTCGTTAAACTCTTGTATTTCATGAGTTGCGCAAAAAGCCTTCTGACAATAGTACTCTTAGCTAATTGGATGCTAATGAATTTATGTTATGATTTTCCAGGTTCTTGGAAAGTGTCAGCTTAGAGAAGCTGTTCAGGAGAAGCAAGAGGGATTAGACTCTTTAGGTAATGTTTTGCAACTTTAAGAATTGGCTGTGCTTATTTGCTTGTGATGGCCAGTAATAACTCGTGCTTTGTTATTCAGTTGTGGATGATGGATCAAATTGGAGTATGGGACAGCAACAATTGTTCTGTCTGGGACGAGCTCTTCTGCAGAGAAATCGGATATTGGTGCTTGATGAAGCAACCACATCCATCGACAGATATTAGTGCTTGATGAAGCAACCACATCCATCGACAATGCAACCGATATGACTCTGCAGAAAACCATTAGAACTGAATTTGCCGATTACACTGTTATCACAGTAGCTCACAGGATACCTACAGTGATGGATTGCACCATGGTTCTTGCCATGAGCGATGGTAAAATTTCATTGCCTTGACGTTCATAGAAACAAACCATAAGCGTTCAGTAAAACCCTTACTGACATCTTTATATATCTTTTGAGTTTGTTAAGCAAATTTTTACTCTATTTCAAGACAAGTAGTAGAGTTTGATGAACCAATGATGTTAATGAAGAGAGAAGATTCACTTTTCGGTAAGCTGGTGAAGGAATACTGGTCTCATTCGCAGTCTGCTGACTCACATTGAGAATGATGCTAACATCTTCACAGCCTTTTTCCTCACTTGGGTACCAAATAGAAGTCGGATCACAAGCCGACTCGCAATAAAAATGACTGGCAACGAGACTGGTGGAGAGCTGAAGAGCACGATTTCATTGGAGTATCATATCCCCATTCACTTGATGTATTTGGCTGTATGATAAGACATTTCCTTATTTCAAAGGAAACATTTGCCAAGTGTATCAACTGTAGAATGCTAATATATGACACAAATAGCTCCCAATTTTAATATGAGGGGAGCAATTATGTGAAAGCAAAATTGGTGGAAAACAATGGAATAGTACCAAGGATAACAAGTTCTTTGAGTTCAACTTAGAACAGAATGGACATTCCAAAAATAGCCGAAAGCAGTGTATTCACACTATGCAACTAATTCCATCGAAAAAATGATGGTTAATCTTGACCTCTGGCCTTATCGCAGAGAAAACCAGTTATTGTCCCTAAGGTCCTCCGAGCACGGCATTCTCAATATCTTCTCTGCTTAGAGCGTAACTGAATCTCCTTTCCACATCCTTCTCGAGATTTCCAGGTCCACTCTTTAGATACCTGAAACGTAGTGCGATTTTCAGTATCTGCAACGGTTGAAATGAAGGGGAAAAAACAAATTTCAACAATTGAAATGGCTGAAATATCAAAAATAAAACACCACTTGGGCGACATATTTGAGCTAATTAAGGGAAACTTCTAATACTTTAAAGGTTCACTCTTTCTCTCCCCCATTTGGAAGCGAGAAACACAGATCATTTGATGTTCAGTCATATCCCAAAAGAGTCTTGTGAGAACAGCTAGATTAGTTGAACATGGGGACAAAGCTGTAACCATTGAATTCAACTACTCTCTTCATCTAACCTGAATCCTGATTATTGAAAAGTTCACACAAGCACAAATTTCCCCTTTTTTTTTAACCATCACAATCTCCTCTCCTTTGTTATTGGCCAACAATGTCAATAGGATAAAGAGTTACTTCCAATTAAAAGATGAAAAAGGAGATAAAATTAAAACATCATACCGAAAACTCCCCTTTCAGCTTAATATGAGTGCAATTTTGCGTCCAATTCAAAAGTAGCAAAAGATAATCTTCAAACCAAATTCATATTGTGCCTTGGGCAATTGGGTCAGGTCAGTTCAACAAGGTATCACACACCCACTTACCCAGTAATCCATTTTCTTCTACTCTAGCACAAACACTAAGGCAGTGTTTGGTTAGAAGAAGAGAAAACAGGAGGGAAGAAAGCAAAGGTATATAACTAGATGGGAAAATGAAGAAGGAAAAGACTTTTATCTTATTGTATTTAGTATGAATTGGCATCAAAATTGAAGCCCCGTGGAAGATTTCAAGTCACCCACCCAGTTATTCCCTTCTTCAATACCTCCTACCAAACAACCAGAAAATGCTAAAATATATCTACTAATACCTCACTCTTATTCCTGCTTCCACTTTTCCCTCCTATCACACAAGGTCATAAGAAAAGCTAATAATAAAAAGAAATGCAACTCAGTTAAGTACGAATTCTAATTAACGAAATGAACTTTGAACCCTAAACCAACCAATTAGCAATCAAAACTACAGGGCCCACCGCCAACTTCATCATCATCATCATGATCAATAACCTAAAACTGATGAAAACACAGAATCAGATGCAGAAAAAACCGACCTTATGTACAAATCGGTGACATCGAGCGAGAGCTGCGCGTGCCAATCGGCCTTCTCGACGAGCCAAACTGCTCTGTCCTCTTTGCTCTGGTAAAACCCCAAACTCCTCAGCCAGGCCTCAATGCAAGGGAGACTGTGAGAATACAGAGGCTTCTTCTTGTCCGGAAGCTTCTTCAACCACTCATCCTCCGGCGACGAGAGCTCCTCCGCCTCCGACGACTTCGAGCGACTTCGCAGATGGAGCTTCCTCGGTGGGCGAGCCAAGGGTTTGCAAAAAGCGGGGAATTTTCGAGAAATGGAAGGGCTGAGAGCGGGGGATTCGGGAACTTTTGAAGGAATTGAAGAAGAGGATGTGAAAGACAGTATATTGGAGCTCGTGAGCTTGGAGAAACAAATGGCGGACATGGTTTTTTCGATTCCGAATTGTGTGATTCAATGATTTTGGAATAAATTACGGGGTTTGGCGAGGGAATTGACGAATTTTCGAAAATTCGAGTGAAAGCTTGCAATGGAAACTACTTACTAGAGATAATTATCTTCTTCTTCGTCTTTGAATTTGGGGAATGCAGTGTCGCGCGAAAAGATTATAGATTAGGAAGTTGTTGGGACTTGGGACCCATTCTAAAATAATAATAATAATAATAATTAAATAATAATTTCATAAATACCCTAAATTTTGTATTTTTTTTAACATGTCTCCTAAATTTTAAAACGGATTCATTTTACTACCTAAGAGTATGTTTGGTAGGAAAGAAAAGTAGAATGAAGGAAGAAAATGGATGAATTTTGGGAGGAAAAATGAAAATGTAAGTTGTTTGGTAGGAGAGAAAAGAGAAAGAAAGAGAAAATAGAGTGGAAAATAATACATGTGGGCCCCACTATTTTTTTTCTTTCCACAAGTGGGCAAAAAATGGGATAGAAAATAGGGACAACTCATTAAAGTGAGTAAAGTTACTAAACTACTATTTTCTCCATCAACATCCAAGTAAAAAATTTAAGGGTATAAAAGTAATTTACGAGTAAGATTTTTTCTTTCCTCCCAATTTAACTTTCAATACCAAACAAGTGAAGGTAAGCTCATTTTCTTTCCATCTTCTCATACCAAACAACATAAAAGAAAATCAATTTCCTTTCCATCATTGTTATTTTTCATCACTTTCATATTTCTTTTCTATCATATTTTCTTTCCTTCCTACCAAACATAATAGTGGTTAAAAACACCTCCTGTATTAATATGTTTCATAAATACCCCTTGAACTAGTATTTTATGTCAATTTACTCCTGACTTTTAAAATGTTAGGGGACAAGTTGACACAAAAGTAATAATTTAATAATAAAATGACTTAAAATTAATAGTTTATCATTTTAAAAAATCAATAGTTGAAGGGTATTTATAAAAACATTAGTAGTGACATGTTATAGAATTTGTTAGTTTTATAAATGAAGGGACATTTTGAACAATGGTACATATTTTAAGAGGTGAAATGAACATTTTCAAAATTTAGGGGACATATTAAAATAATGTATAAAATTTAGGGGTATTTATGAAATTAATTCAAAAAACTACATTCCAATAGATTGGGAAAGTTGCTAGGTCCTACCCACTAAAAAAAAATCCAATACAAAAGAATTGGTTTTTTTTTTTTTTATCAATCTCATGGTTTGAGTTTTAGCTTTAATATTAAAAAAAAAAAAAAAAAAAAAAAACACACATCAGGTAAACAAGTCTAAAAATTTAAGAGCATTTGATTAGCTGTTGTCGAGTTCCATTGATCTCCAACTTTGTTGTCGGCATCTTATCTCCCCTTCACCTAGATCTCCACTGGAGTTTCACGCCCTAATCTTCTCAATTCCATCTCAGCCCCAACGCCTGCCCTTACAGCTACTAGACACTGGCCACCCCTTGCTACTCGCGTACTCCCTGCTTAATGGATAATACGATGGTGAACTATAAACTTTTGATCTCTTTACTAAAAAAGATAAAAGGGTTATTGGTAAAAATGGTCCCCAACCTGTTTAGTAAGTGACAGTTTAATCTTTATTTTTTTCTTAACCAAACGACCCCTGACTTTTTTAAACAGGTGCAATTTAATCCTTTCCGTTAACATCTGCTAAATTCTTCACAGAAAATTGCACGTGCCCATCATGTGACCCTTTTTTTCTAATAAAATGACTTAAATGCCCCCATTAGAAAGACTTCTTCTTCTTTCCTTCCGTCAGACTCCCGTCGCCGACGATGGAAGACAGCAATAGAAATTCCCGTCTCTAACTGACTCATATGCTCACTACTGCTCTATCTAAAAACACACAGGTACGAGTAAGCCAACTCCGTTTTCTCAAAACCAAATGGAGCGAGAAGGGGTCCCACCTCCTTCGTCGTTACCAACTACTGCCACCACCATCCTCGGCAAGTACCGGTTGGGCCGGTTCTTGGGCTTGGGCAGCTTCGCAAAGGTATATGATGAGGCACAATCCCTTTATGATGGCTCCACCGCTATCCTTCAATGGCGAAATTCTTGGGAGAGAACGCTAATTCCATCCAAGCTGTGGTGGGAAACACCAACATCGGCGCCAACGTAGTACTAATCGGTTCGCTGCTGAGATTGAGGATTGTCGCGAGCTACAGTGTGGGGTTGGACAAGATTAATTTGAGAAAATGCGAGGAAAGAGGGATTAGGGTCACCAACAGTCCCGATGCGTTAACTGACGACGTCGTCAACAAAGCGATTAGGCTTATTTTGGCGGCGATTGAGATTCTTCTTCAATGGCTGGTTGTGAAAATGTGGTTTTTGATCTGTAGACAACCCAATGCGAATTGGAAGTTTCAGTAGAAGTTTCATTCAACAAGGTTGTTGTAGCTCAAAAAAAAAAAACTTTAGAAACGTGTTCACTTGGTCGGGCATGATCGGTGCGTGAGCAGAGGTGAAAGCTTAATACTTTTTACCAATTAATAAGACTTTTTACCAAAATGCTCCATATTAAAAAGTCATGTGAGGGGCGCGTGTAATTTTATATGAAGAATTTAACAGATATTAACGGAAAGTACCAAATTACACCTGTTTAAAGAGGTTGGGGGTCATTTAGCCAATAAAAAATAGACTAAATTGTCACTTACTAAACAAGTTGAGGACCATTTTTACCAATAACCCAAGCAATAATTCTCACACATGATTTCATATATTGGAGATAAACCGTAACAAATGAAATCTTCAATTTTTGTTATAAATCATAAATTATTACTTAAAAAATGTTGACTAATGCCAATTATAAATTTTTATCAACGTGAGGCTTTGCATGTCAATGAGGGACATAAAAAAACCATTAGTTCGTTATACTAAGAAGTTTAGGGGGAACGATGCTCTTTTTGTCAAAAGAAAATTTAAACGCATTGTAGGACCACGTGTATTATAACATCTTATGGTAGTCTGTAGATAAGTAGCAGTTCTTAAAACACGTTTAATGTGTTGTATTATATATATTGTATATAAATTGTATTGTAGTATTATATTTTTATTATATTTTTTTTATACAACACGATATTTAGTTTATGTCGTAATTATTAAATTACATTATATTATGTTTGTTTTGCCATCACATTATATTGCATTTGAATTTTTACGCAGATAAATTTTAGGCCTTAGTCCTAGTCTAGCTCTGTTTTGGCCTGACCCTAACCTAATAGGCAAGGTGAAAAAGGACAGAGAGATTCATATGGGATTTTTTGCAAAGTTTTATAAGAGAATGGCCAAAATAATAATTTTTAAAAAGTTAATGGGTCAAACATATTTTGTTTAAAATGTTTAGGGTGAGAATATAATTATCAAAAGATGAGGGTCAACAACATTCAAAAGATGATGGGTTAAATTGTAATTTTATAAAAATTGATAGGTAAAAATGCATTTTTCAAAAGTCAAGGCATGAAATGTAATTTTTAACATAGATAATTTTATTTTTGTTTATAAAATTATAATTTGACCCTAATTTTTTGATTTTTTTGCAAAAATACCATACTTTTTCATTCACGTAAACTGTTAGCTTTATACTTTTTCTAAGTCAATTGTTTATTTTGATCTTTAAATATACAAATTTATTCTTTGTTAAATTTCAAAAATCATTAATCAATTATAATATCAGGGATCAAAACTGTTAAAAGATCAAAATTGTGGGAATAATAAGCTAAAATTAAAAGTATAGGGATTAAAATGTCTACATACTCAAAGTTGAGGTTCTATTTGTAATTTTGTACCAACCATTGAAATGGCAAAAAAAAAAAAAAAAAAAAGGGGTAGTGAAATAGTAAAGAGCCCTTTATTTTACTTTTTTATTTTATTTCATTTTTTTGAAAAAGTGAATTAGCCCATAGATTAAGGTCTAGCGGCATGGTTTGTCAGTTTGTTTTGGTATTGAATATTTTACCAGCGCCACATGTTTTGTTTTGGCGCCCATTTTTTACAGAAACGTGAAACGTCACCGTTTCAAGGCCGTCCAGACTACACACCTTTCGTTTTATTTTCCCGCTCATTTTATTTCATCCCCTTTCACTCTCGCCGTTTTCCTTAATTTTTCCAGTTCCCGTCTGCCAAACGTCGTCGTTCCGATCTCCTTCAACCTCTTCCCTTTCCCCTTCCTTCTCTTCTTCTGCTTCCGCCTTCAAACACCATACCTCTCTCTCTCTCTCTTATTTCTCTCTCTAAAATGGAAAATGATCCAATCACAGACTACAGCCAAACCCAGCGCGTAGTTCTGCTAATCGATCTGAACCCATTGCTTCATCTCAGAAACCCAAACCATTTTCTCACTTCCATCCTCTCTTCTGCCAAAATCCTTCTCTCCTTCTCTCCTCTCTCTTCCTCTCTCTTCGCCTTCAAATTCTTCTTCTCCTCTCTCTCTCTTCTCCTCTCTTCCTCCAAGCTCCGCTCTTTCGTCCCCAATTCCACACTTTCTCTCTCCTTCGACCACCCAATTGCCGCTTTCGAATCCCTCTCCCAAACCCTAAGTTCTCTCCCCTCTTCTTGCAATGAAGAATCTGCACTTTCTTCTCCTAGGGCTTCGTGCCTCGTGGCTTCGATGCGGCAACTGGTGCACGACTACGCCTGGGACCCTGTAATCCAGGGCCCTGTGACGGGTACGCTTTTGAATTCTGGTTCTGTTTTGGTTAGGTCTAATTTGGTTGTTCTGTTTTCTCCGATTCCCGCTTCTTTAAAGTATTTGTCTGAGCTCTTGGATGTGGGAATTGATGATGATTGCTTAGGAGATGTGAGTAGTTTCTGCGAGAGATTTTGTGGATTCTTTGCAAGTGTTAATGACGCGTTTGTTAGTAGGGATATTCAATTTAGTTGGGTTAATGTTCGAGTGGATGATGATTATGATAAATTTGAGATTGATGAATCAGAACTGAGATCCGAGTTTTTTGAGAGTGGGATTAGGAATTTGGGATGGGGATTTTGCTCAAGTGATTCCATAGTTCTTGGCTCAGCTCTTGTTCCTTTTGGTTTGATTTATCCGAAGATTGGGATTTCGCCTAATGGTTTAAGTTGTAATGACTGTTCTAAGAAGCTTCATGTGCAGTTGAGTCTTGAGATACTAGATGTTGCTCAGAAACC